GGTTAAATGTTGTTTTCATTTTCTAGCATCCCGAGTTTCTTCTTCATATCCAACCCTCCCTCTTTTCCATTCTTACTATCTATCAGCTAGTAAACTAAGTGAGGTATGGAGAGTGGACGTCAACTGGGGATCGAACTCTTGACCGTATGAATAGAGTCGGTGAGTATTCTACTGTTGGATCAAACGACGCACCTCGTGACGTTTACTCTCACTGAATAATCGCTACTTTAAAGTAAACTGGATAAAAACACAATATGCCAACAAATGCTAGATAAACAGTTCAACATCGGAATTCCAGTTATTAGTCTAAAAGAGTTGCTTTTAAGATGTACTATGAATGTACACTTCAAATTCAACAACCTTTACTACAGACAAATCGACGACATTGCCATGGGTTCTCCATTGGGGCCTATTTTGGCAGATTTCTTTCTTGCTAAGGTTGAAACAAGTAATAGATAAAACTGATTCTTATTTTCGCTGTGTTGATGATACGTTTATTATTCTTGATGTGAAAGCTGACAAGAATGAAATGTTAATAAAAAAATTTAATGATGCACATCCATCGCTCATCTTCACTTGTGAAGAAGAACATGATGGTAGACTACATTTCCCCGATGTCCAATTGATCAGAAGAGAGGATGGTTCACTCAAGAGAGATGTCTATAGCAAATCTACATCTGTAGGACAATATACACATTTCTTCAGTTTTGTACCAATCCGATACAAAATCAATTTGGTTAGATGCCTCACGAATAGAGCAAGACGTATCTGTACAGATAACTCCCTAGAAAATGAATTAGGATACATCCAAAATACGTTGGTCCAAATGGATTATTCTAGTAGATTTGTAATGAGACACATGAACACACTACGTACAATAAAGAGAAACTGACAACAGTTGGAAAGAAACAACTGTTCATGAAATTGAAATTTAATGAGGATGTGGCTAGTGAAGCCTTACATCTGAGATTATCGAGAGCGATAAAACGGACTTATACTGCCGTCACCACCTTCTGTTTGTCATTTTCCAGCTGCCGACCAATTATAATTGCTCAAGTGAAAGACAACCTGCCTACCTGTGCCACATCTATGTGTACCTACAAATTTACCTGCTCATGTGGAAAGAGCAAGAACTAATCGCCCAACAAATATATAGGAGAAAGTGGAGATGGATTGGACACTCGCTGAGGAGGCTGCTGGGTGACATCGCGCGTCAGGCCAACGCTCGAGTGGAACCCGAAAGGGAAGCGGCGAGTGGTTCGTCGGTTTTAAGGGTGACATGGAGGAGATCGTGAAGAGGAATTGAAACAGTATGGACTAACATGGATGCAGGTGAAAAGTACAGCAGAAGACAGAAACAAGTGGAGATGTGTAGTTGAAGCCCTTTATTACACTAGGAACCCAAAGGAGCAATAATAATACAAAAATGTGGAGACAGCTATATATGGCGAACAACTAGGCAGCTTAACAAACGCATTAATGAGCATCTTCCTTCATGGTTTGGAAAAGGTCAAATAAAATCTATACGAAGTTCTATTTTGACTCATTTGATTGATGGGAGAGGTTACCAAGTGGACAGAAGTAGTGCCTTCAGTGGTTATCTATCGCATTCCATCGAGTCTTTCGTATGGAATCAGAACCCGTCTTTTACACATAGCCGAAGCTATGGGAATTAATTCTAGAGAACAATCCTAGTGTCTTTGCATACGGCAAAAGAAGTTTATTCTACCTTTGTCTCTCCCACGCTTGGCCTAAGTGAATTCTAATCAAAACCCTTACGCCCTTTTCTATTTTCCATTCCCTTCATACTTTTATGATATTTATTATTTAAACTGATTATCTGTCCACTTCAACTAACTATAGTATTATGTAACTTTTAAGATTTCACCTAAGTTATTTATTGAATTGTCTACATATACACATACATATTACTACCTTCATTATTCTTATCGCCACCTGCATAAACCTTATTATCAATATTTTGTTATCATTATAATCATCGTTATTAACTACGTTCAAAACATTTACCACACTATTATTATTATTTGATCCACAAAATCACCGTCATTGGTTAAATGTTTTACACATAAATCTATGTAAATTAGAGTGAAGCCTGAAGAAGAGGATCTAATTGAAAACAACAATATTCTTCGCTTATGTCTTGTTCTAATATTAAATATCAATGTAAGAGCGGAGAAACTAATGACCAACTCCCTCAAAAAACTGAACCAAATAGGAGTATTATCATCAGCCACGTATGAGTGCATGAAACCAACGGGTACCAATACTCCACGTTTTTACGGCCTACCAAAAGTGCACAAACCGGGCCTTCCTCTTCGTTCTGTTTTAGATATGTATAACTCTCCATTTCACAGAACAGCGAAGTGGTTAGTGAAGATTTTGGGTCCTTTGCACAGAAAAATCGTGCAACATAGAATGAGTGATATCTTCGACTTTATTTCTAAAATATCCGAGACTAATGTGAAGTATGAACGCATGTTATCCATAGATGTATCATCACTATTCACTAATGTACCGCTCATGGAAACAGTAGATTATATTTGTCAAGAAATCGCCGAAAGGCAATTAGATTTAGGAATCCCCTTGTGTAGCCTCAAAGAATTACTTCTTAAATGCACAATGAATGTTCACTTTGTCTTCAATAATTCATACTATCGACAAGTAGATGGAATAGCTATGGGTTCACCATTAAGCCCAATGTTAGCCGACTTCTTTCTCGTAAAACTTGAAAACGGGAAATTGAAGGACATCATCAAAGAGTTTGATATGTATTATCGATATGTCGATGATACATTTATCTTAGCTAACGAAAATGTTAACATAGACGAACTGTTGCTGAAATTCAACAACATCCACCCTTCGCTTACCTTTACTTGTGAAGAGGAGCAGGAGAATAAACTACATTTCCTGGATGTCTTGCTAAGTAGGAGAGAAGATGGGTCACTTGGGAGAAGCGTGTATAGAAAAAGCACTTTCACAGGGCAATACACACACTTCCTTGGTTACGTGCCCATTAAATATAAAAGGAATGTTGTAAAATGTCTTGCGAGCAGAGTAAGAAAGATGACCTCTTACAAAAGGAATTTGAATATATTCACGATTCCTTGATGGAGATGGGCTATCCGAATAGTTTCATAAAGAAACATATGAAAATATCGGAGAAAAAACCGGAAACTCTGACTGTACGTAAGAAACCTCTATTTTTTAAGTTACAATTTAATGGTGACTTATCAAGTGAGATTCTATTCCAAAGACTTTCAAGGAGTATACGAAGAACTTTTTATGCAGCACACCTATGTTTGTCATTCTCTAGCCGACGAATGATTGGGACGCAAACGAAGGATAAGCTTGATAGTTTTGCCACATCTATGTGTATTTATCAATTCAACTGCACCTGCGGTGACAGCTTAGCCAACGTGTTAGTGAACATCTCCCATCGTGGTTTGGCAAAGGACAGACAAAAACAATCCGTAGCTCAATTTTGTCACACTTAATTGATAGTGGTCATGTAATCGAGAAAACGAAAGCCTTCAAAGTGATTCATTGTATCCCACCAAATGTTTTCAATAGACTTCGCATTCGTTTACTGCACACAGCTAAGGCGATAGGCATTCGAACTACTAAGCGTAAACTATGCACTCAAAAGAAGTTCGCACAGTCATTATTCATCCCTTCGCCCATTATAACCTAACCAACTAATGAATTCTACACCACCCCTTGTTTATATTTTCAACCCCTTTCTTATCATCCCTTAATCTTATCACATCATTAAAAACGTGTTTCATTTACTTCCCTTACAATCTAACATTACTTAATCAGTTCATTTGTTTTTACTAGCCTTTATCGACTACTTCCACCTGAACATTTGTTTGTTTAATCATACTGTTTTCATTATTCGTGTTATCACGGATTGCCTCACATTTTCATCTTTATTAGTGATAAAACCATTTTTATTATTATCACTACTACCATTATGATTAATTGCACAATTTATATTCACCATCTTATTATCCTATAGACAAAACACCATGATTGGTTTATATTTGAATTTTTATTTGTAAACTTATATATATTAGAGTTAAGCCTGATGAGATCTAATCGAAAGTGCAATATTGTTCGCTTAAATGTCTTGTTCTAATATTAAAAACACAAGAAACAGAAACAGCACTAGTGTGTGTGCATGTGTGTGGCGTAACTGTGGAGCTCAAGCGACAACTCCTCGAAGTACGTATTAGAAGGTCATGTTAGAAGTAACTTTAACGGACTTGTAATGTACGACTACTACTACTACTGCCACTGCTCTACTACCTCTTCCCTAAAGAGGAGGAGCGGGCCTCTCTACCCAGTAATAATACCTAACCCCGCCCCCTTCGTCATCATCCACCAAAAACAGCGGGGGACAGCCTCAACACCTTCCTTCCATTCCATCACCATAATCAACAACAAAATGACAAACGAAAAAAACAAAAACACCAGAAAAACTCAACAACAAACATATACATTTTTCATTCATTTTTATTTTTCAAGAGGCAAGTTAAAATTAATTGTTGTTGTTACTGTTATCATTATTACTATTAAACAACAACAAAATCATGATCTCATTGTGTGTGTGTGTGTGTGTGTATTGGTGGTGGCGGGGGTGGGGGCGTGTGTATGCCTGTGTGTGCATCTTTATATATATATGAATACGTATATGTATAAATACAAGTATTATTATATAATCTCATTAAAATTCGACTCAATGAGGAGAGAAGAGCGCGCGAGATACAGAGAGAAAGATTGAAAGAAACAAAAACAGATTGATTAAGAATAATAACAACCACAACAACCACAACAACAACAGTACACATGGGTGAATGAATGCTTCTGTGTGTACGTGTGTAACATGAGTGTAGAGAGCTGGGAAATGAGCGCGGGGCGGGGGGCTCAGGGAACGGATGTGTCGCCCCACCACCACGCCCTCCTCTTTTCACACACACACTCAGACAGATGAGATGGGAAATGAGAAATTAAGAATAAAAGATAAAGACACGGCACAACTGCCTTGTATATGTGCTACCCGAGAGTGTGTGCACGCGGCAATGTATGATGAATGTGATTCGATCGAAGGAGGAAAAGGAAAAGGAGAAGAAGAAGCAGAAGCAGAAGAAGAAGACAGAGGAAAAACCAACCAACCAACCAACCAAAAAAAGTGTCTATTACTACTTATTATATAATAAATAACCTAATAAGTATGAAAATGGCTCTATTTACACAAAGTTTGCATGAATGTATGTAAGTATATAATATGCGCACATCATCAGATTTCGCCCCTCCCCTCCCCCGCTCTCCATCCATCCAGAAAAGAAACTCAGACGCACATCGACCGATAGACCAACCATCAAAACTTGAAAGTCTCACAGCTGAGGCGTCGAACTAAAGAACAGCAGAATGATAATGACAGACAGACAGATAGAGTGAGAGAGAGTCGAGGGGAAAAATGCGCAAAAGAAGGGGAAAAAGGAAACGAAATGGTTAAAGAAAAGAGAGTTCCATGATGAATAATGAGAATGTGTGTATCTGAATGTACACGCGTTAAGTGCACAGCACAGAGATGAAGAACTAACTAACTCAAGTCTTGCATGATGATGATGATGATGGCGGTTTGTCAGCGGGGCAAAGCTGGTTAGTCATAACAATAAAATCAATAATTATTGAAAAGAGTAGAATGGATAAGGAGAAACCAAACAGAAGAAGAAAGAGAAGGAGAACAATAAATAAATAAATAATCATAATATACATTTATTAGTTGGATGAAAAAATGAAAAAAATCGAAACTGGAGTTTCTGTTTGTCCATCGACGTGTTTGTGCATAAGTGTGTCTGAGACAGAGGGAGCGGGGGAGAGAGAGATACAGGGACTGTGAGACACAAAGACAGAAGAAGGACAGAGGAATAAGGGCGGAAGAAAGGTGAATTACCCCCCCCCCCCCGGTTGCAACACTAGACATGCCTCCTCTCAGTTTGTGTATATATGTATATATCTCCCCTAATTGATTGAAATACAAAAGAATATACAAGTTATGTTGTTTGTTATTGGTGGTGTTTATTGGGGAAATAATATACAATATAACAGGCACACACGCACGCACACATGCACATACACACATACAAAGGGAGACACACACACGCATCATTATGCAATAGAAAAATGTGGAGAAAGAGAGAGCGAAGAGGAGAAATGTTAACTACAATGCGCATAAACATAAACAGTAGACAGTGATGTGTTTAGTTATCCTCCAAAGAGACACACGCACACTCACACACACACACACACAAAGAAAGAGAATGTACACATATCATTTAGTAGTAATAAACACGGGGCGGGGGGTGGGAATTACAATAAAATTTTCTTTGAAAACAAAAATCCCAATAATCATAAGAATAAGAATAAAAATCATTGTCACATATTGAAACAGTGTAGTGTACAGAAATGGGAATAATGGGAATAATAATGATAGTGGTACACTGAAAGAGACAAGAGAGAACTGGTCACTAACTGTTGTCACTGTTGTTCAGCTTCTTTCTTTCTTATATAATGTGACCAAGAGTTATTGCATCCTACAAAAATTCTTCCTCGTCTTGTCTTAGTGTTCATCTCTACAGAACAACCAATAATAAAATAGAGGGAGGGGGAAGTCGAGGGGAAAAGTAGATGGGGCAAGAAGAGGGACAGAGAGGAGACAAAATAGATTACATAACATAAAGGAGAAGTTTTATATGATACACATTCACACACGCACACACCAACACACACACGCACACCGACAGATCGAGAGAGAGAGAGCGGGGGAGGGAGAGATAGACAAGCGAAGATTGATTGTAAAATTCGCGTGAAATATCAGAATATATAGATGATGCATATGTGTTTATGTATAATGCTATTTATATATATATTTATATGAACAAAGAAACGAAATGAAATGAAATGTCTCTTCAAAATAACAATAACTAGTAGTAGTAATAATAATAATTATAATGACTAAATTACCATAATTCAGGTGGTTCTTTATTGATTTTCACTCTCATGGCCCCCCACACCCCCGCCTGGTGACCACCATCTATCATCCATTAGTGAATGAATGAATGGATGAATAAATCAGGAGAAGAAATTATATGTACAAACATGATTGACAGTGATGATGGTGATGATAATGGCGATGGCGATGCCGATGATGTTCATGATGAATAACTGAAGTTATTGTCCATTGGAGGATGAAGCCGCACAGTTTGTGAAGGAGAACACACATCAAAATGTGAACAATAATAATAAATTTACATACAAGTTATGAGTGATAGACAGATAGACAGGTCGATCCCCCTCATTCTGTCTGTCTGTCTGTCTATCTATCTATCATCTTTGACAACTAAACAACTGATGACGAATACGCTTGTGCTGTTGATGCTGATGATGATGACGAGGAGGATGTGGACGAGGCAATATTGGCCAATTGATTATTTTCATAACAATTCTCTTGTGACTGTCGAAGCATATTCATATTTCGATTTCCGCTACTATTATTATTATTGTTATTACTGGCATTATTATCAGACATACCACCGCCGCCGCCTAACGTTGTCATTCCACTAGGATCTGTGCCCATCATTGGTGGAAATAATTTACTAGAATTCATCATTTGACCAGAATACATCTCTCGAGGATTATTAGTATTAGTATTAGGTGACGATACAGAGGACATTGTAGCAGGGAAATTCATTGGATTCCCGCCACCTCCTGTTGCTGATGGATGGTGATGCCAATTCATCATAAGTCGATTACCAGGAGGAGGACCACCAGAAACAGTAGAAGACGACGTCATCATCTGTTGTTGTTGCTGTTGCGATGGAAATACATGCGATGAATGCGGTGAATTGTACTGATGCATAGGATTTTTAATATCTAATTCATTATTGGTCATTGGGACATTTGGTACAGAGAGACGTTTCCCCGTAGTAGGATGATGTCCCATATTATTATTACCATTATTCTCCATATTGTTGATTGTCGGATTCGATACGGATGAGCGTAGATTATTAGTGTTGTCAGTAAGATTAGAGGGGATATTATCAACAATATTATTATTATGCATATTTGAACCATTATTATTAATAGTAGTACTACTACTACAATTATTATACATTGTAGAAGTATTCGAGGTGTTGGATGACATAGTTGAACTAGACGACGCTGAATTCGACATGACAAATTGAACTTGATTAGTTGAACTCCAATCACCGCTACCAGCGGAGTAATCACCGCACATTGAGGCGGAGGAGGAGGACATCATCATTTGATGGTGTTGTTGTTGTTGCTGGTGGTGGTGATGGTGCTGTTGATGCTGTTGATAATAATTCTGATAATTTGTCTGTTGTTGATGATGCATCTGATTCGAGGCTGCTGATGGCTTACCACTACTACTACTACTACTACTGCCCATTGGCTGACGGAGATACTGAGATGCTGATGATGGTTGTTGGGGTTGGTGTTGTTGTTGTCCAGCGTTGATACGCTGTTGCTGCTGTTGTTGATGTTGTTGATGTTGTATTGATCCATCCGGTTGACTAGAAGTGAACATTTGATGATTTGAGGAGGAGGAGGAGGAGAGATTATCACTGATGATTGGATCGATAGATTGCATTGTTGTCACATCATTATTACAAGATGATGATGATGTATAACTGTTCATTTGAGGATCACGAAATGATCCTCCTCCTTGTTGATGATGAATATTTCTAACAAGACGATTATCCATAACTTGATCTAAAAAAAAAACAAAAACAAACAAGAGATGAATAATTTCAGTGGTATTTACCAAAAAATTAATAATAATAATAATTGAGTAGAAAGAATACAATGATACTCCTAATTGTGGTGGACTGGATTATGCCTCAGACAGTGGGAAACGAGAAGACAGGGATATCCTGGACCGACGTGAAGAACCTAGAAGACCTGGATTTCGCGCGTGGATGATTTATGTTTGATGTCACACAAAATCGAAGACTTACAAGCGAAAACTGACAAACTGGTCGAAGAAGCAGGCAGTGAAGACAGGACTCCAGGTGAACATAGACAAGACGGAGGTTGTGGAAATAACCAACAACAACAACAGCAGCAACATCCACCGCCAATCACCATTAACGGGAGGGATTTGAAAGAGGTTACTCCATTCACTTATCTAGGGAGCATTGTCTCAACTACAGGAGGAACGGACGAGGAGGATGTCAAATCGAGAATCGGAAAGGCGAGAAACACATTCATCAACCTGAAACCAATCTGGAAATCTTCGTCACTCAACTCAGCATCAACAACAAAAATCGGATTTTCAATACAAACGTCAAGTCAGTCAGTTCTTCTATACGGATCAGAAACTTGGCGGGTCACAAAGAATATTTCCAACAGCCTGTTGCAGACCTTTATCAACAACTGTCTTCGCTCTATACTGAAGATCAGATGGCCGGAAAGAATCACCAACAAGAAGCTATGGGAACAAACAAAACAAGAACCAATCGCCCAACAAATATGCAGGAGAAAGTGGAGATGGATTGGACACTCGCTGAGGAGGCCGTTGGGTGACATCGCCCGTCAGACAAACGCTCGAGTGGAACCCGAAAGGGAAGCGGCGAGTGGTTCGTCGGTGCAAGGGTGACATGGAGGAGATCGTGTGAAGAGGAGTTGAAACAGTATGGAGTAGCATGGATGCATGTGAAAAGTACAACAGAAGAGAGAAGGAAGTGGAGAAGTGTAGTTGAAGCCCTATGTTCCACTAGGAACCCGATGGAATAATAATAATTATTATTATAGAAAGTATACAGACAACATCGTGTCTTACTGTGCGATAAGTATGCAAGCTGCCCAAATCGCATTTAATCAGTTGGCGTTCAGTGCCTGTAAGTGTGGTATGTGCCTTTCGCTTCGTCTAAGTGCAAAGTACTGTTACAAGATTGGCCAGAGTATGTACCTGCAATCTAACCCTTTCAGGTGAACTGCCTGAAGTTGTCGATAAACTCTCGTGTATCTGGGTAGAAGTGTGAGTGTTGACGGAGGGGTGACAGATGGATTTTTCCAACCGTATCATGAAAGCTAGAATGGCATACGTCAACTTGAACCACCACCTCTAGCATCGTCACAATATTACTCTGGCTGTCAAAGCTCGGGTGTATAATAATGCTTTGGTGGGCACTGTCTTGCTCTACGTCTGCGAAACCTGGCTTCTCTCGATGACCGACCACTGATATCAGCTGTGTGTCGGCAGGGGATTGAACCCCGGACTATGATGTGTCTAGTCCTTTCTTTGATGCAGACTGAATTCTATCAGTCAGGTTTGCAATGTCGCACACAGTAATACACTATTTTTTAATAACCAATGTCCAATCAAAAATATTCCAATACGGTCAGTCCGACAGGAAGTCAAACACAAGAGAGTCCGAATAGATCAGCGGTAACTTCATCTCTGACAGCAGGCGGCACTGGGTGACGCGGGTGCGAATCTCAGAATCCTTCAAGGTTGCAGAAAAGCCTTGCTGACTGACTGGTGAGTGCCAACTAGCACGAAACCCAGGTCAGGCAAGGGTTCTTCTTGTTGTCGATTGCCACCAACCATCCATTATCATCAAGTTAGGGGTTTTCCTCATTACTGAATAAAAAAAATAAACCACAGAAATAAAAAAATTCTGATCACAGGTTAAAAAACAAACAAAGAAAGAAACCAACATCATCGGATCTAAACGGAACTTACTTTGCATATTAGATGATGCTTGGAAACTATTCAGACTGGCGGTATCACCAACACCACCAGTTGAAGACACGATCATAGAAGCGCCTAATGACGCCGCCGCCGACGCTGACGACATTGAATCAAAGCTAGAATCATTCCAGGTGAATGTTGAATTATTATTAGTATTATTATTCATTGGTCGTCCAGGGAATACTTGTGCATTTTTATTATTATTCTGTGCCTGAAAGTTAGATGCATAAGACTGCTGACCAGCCACTACAGCAGCGGCTGACTGAGGCATTGGAGGATAATGTTGATTTGGAGGAGCAGAAGGCGGATAGAATTGTCCTGGTTGGCTAGAAATATTTTGATTAGCAGCATAGGATTGATTCGACTGGAATGATGAATGATGTGATGAATTACTATCAGGATCAGATGGGATATACTGATAACCACCACCACCACCACCACTAGCAGCACCACCTCCACTACCACGTAGTGATGGTCTTGGAAGGGCTTGATTCGGTCCAGATGATGACATACCACCGCCACCAACACCACCACCACTGCCAGGCGGTCCTTGATTACCAGCTTGAGGAGCAACAGTAGGAAGATATTGAATTGTATGCGGTGTTCTAGGCGTTATCTGTATACTAGCATTTCCATAGCCAGCAACAGAGGATCCCCCAACGCCACCAGTACCCATCGGTGTACACATGGATGAAGTGATCACTGAGGAACTAGATGGAGGAGCATGAGGAGCAGGAGCAGGAGGAGGAAGTAAGGGTAGTTCAGATTTAGAACAATCGATTCGATGATTCATAGGATCTGAATTATTATACAACATTTGAGGATTATTTGAAGACATTGAAATGTATTCATTCGATTGAGGAGGAGGTGCTTGTGGTTGGTGCTGTTGTTGTGGTGGTGGATTTGTCATACGTATTGTACTACTGTCTGTTTGACGAACTGATCGCATATGATCATGTGGAGGTTGTTGTTGTTGTTGGGCGAAATGTATTTGCATTTGACCTGTTGAACCAGGAGCACTGACATGTTGATAATTCATCTGTTGTACATTTAATTGAGCATTGAAAAATGTGTTGTTTACCTATAACAGTGATAAAACAAATAAACATCATAAGAGAGGGATATATAAATATGTATTTCAAAGAAAGTTTTATTATATTTGCTGATTAGAGGGAATCGGTATGAAGCCCTGTCTACCCTATAGTTTCGTATATATTGGTACATCTCAGCAAGGCATATTCGTCTCACTGACTGACAAATTGAATTTCAACACAGGATATTTACACAGAAGGGCGGCAGTTCAAGTTGCCAAGCTCCATTTAGTAGAGTACCCGAAGGTAGAGAGAAGAGATTTTAAAAAAAGCACAACTGTAATCAGCAGAAATATACGGTGTGTGCCCCAAGTCTTTATCAACCTCATTCAACAGCTGGATATATATATATATATATCCAATGCCACATGTCAGGTGATCCACAACGGAAAACTCAGGTGAGGCTGTCTGTCTATTATCACCCATGATAATATTCTTAATTGCGGTGGACTGGATTATGCGTCAGACTGTGAGTGGGGAGTGAGAAGACAGGAATATGCTGCACTGGCCGATAGGAAGACTATATTTAGAAGATCTGGATTTCGTGTGTGGATGATTTATGTTCAATGTCACATGTCACAGAAACTCGAAAACTTGCAGGCGAAAACCAACAAATTGTCTAAAGAAGAACAAGGCAACGAGGACAGGACTCCAGATGAAGAGAGAAGACAGAGGTGATGAAGATAACCAACCAGGCAACTAACAACAACAACAAGCACCAATCACCATCAAAGGGAGAGATTTGACAGAGGTTATATCCTTCAATTATCTGACCAGGAAGCACGGTTTCAAACAGAGGCAGACAGCATGGATGAAGATATCAAAGCCAGCCAGTCAGCGGGGATCAGAAAGGCAAGATACACCTTCATCGACCAACCTGAAACCAGTTTGGAAATCTTCTGCACTCACTTAGCATAAACAACAAGATTTTGATTTTCAACACAAATGTAAAGTCAGTCAATCAGTCAGTTCTTCTATACAGGTCAGAAAATTGCACTGCGTAAATGTCACGAAAAGCATTTCCAACCGCCTACTGCAAGTTTGTATCAACAGCTGCCGCCTTCACTGGCTGGTTACATACTTAAAGATCAAATGGCCCGCAGACCGGCCAGAAAGAATAAGCAACAATCATCTCTGGATGGGAACAAACCAAACAAGAACCTATAGCTCAACATATATGTTGGAGAAAATGGAGATGGATCGGACACATGTTGAGGAGACCGTCAGGTGACGACGGCAAATGGCAAACGAAGAGTTGTTCGTTGGTTCGAGGATAACATGTAGTAGATCGTGTGGCGAGGAGGAAGAGAAGGAGATGAGAGATTATGGGCAATTGTGGACCCCAATGAAGAGGACAGCAGCAAAATAGAACAAAGTGGAGATGTTCTGCTCGGAACCCAAAAGAGTAACAATAGTAATAATACAGGAGAAAGAATAGTAACGCGGTAAAACATGACTATTTAGTGGATTATGCGAGATCACATAAAGAAAGTGAATCTAAGTCATTGAGAGAACAATAATGAGTCAAATCATCGAGATTGTCTCCAGCCCTAGCCAGCCAAGCAGTCTATGCTTCCCTAAGTGACTGTCACAAACCAACTGTCAAAGACCAAGTTTTCGTTTAACTAACACTAACCCTCTTTTCCAACCTAAAGCCTATGTCAGCTAACATTACCCGTCAAAAGGAAGATGGTGGAGTCAGCTCAGCATGCGCGACAGGCGTCCTTACTAAATCAATGTAGCTTCATGTCATCGATTACTCGATAATGAACCAGATAGTCGTTAGTCAGAGAGGATACACAAGAAACAAGGAACTCTAACGACGAATCAGTAAACTTTATATGTATCTATACTGGCATAGATATAATATCCGGTTGGCTGTCGACCAAATGGCGTGTGGTGTGTACTCCTCCGTAGCTCCCTCCGTCCTCCTTTAATGGTTAGCTATGAGATGTGCACATTGGAAGTGGAAGATACGAAAAGGCCGGCTAGTTGTCTTTGATCATAGGTGTGTCTGCTTTCTATCTCTCATGTTAAATGGTATAATAGTAGGGTAAGTGATATTGAGGTTAGGCTTCGGTCGAGTGTTAGGTAGGTGAGACGGGGAAATCAATCGACGAGCTTGTGAAGCAGCTGCATCGATTGAGAAGATTAAGACATGTGTTACGCATGTTGAGTCATTGGTAGCCTTCCTCGATGGGCAGTGTTAGCCGAGAAGAGCTAGTGGTGGTGGAGACGGTCAAAATAAGACATGGTTTCATCAGTCAATAAACTCCACAACAGTTTGTTTAAGCCAGCCAACCAGCCAGTCACGTAGAGGTGTAGACTGACTGGGATCACCGGGAGGGTAAGAACTAATGAAGGCCAAAGACAATGGGTGGTGATATGGCTCCAAGTGATCGTTGTCAATGGCTGGCCTGGAGCAGATGCATTCACTCACTCTTTGTGATTTGCCGGTCATATCCAATCAGACTCTATTGTTCTTCCATATTCTACTGTTGTTTTTCCCTTCGCTGACACTTGTGTTTATTATGTGTCTTTTGAACGTCTCTTATTACTGTCTTCTGTTGCTTTGTATGGTACATGGAGTGAGTGTGGCAACCCAAACTGCTGTACTTCTGTTCAAGCTTAGTTCTACGTTGAACCCCGTCAGTCAGTCAATCATACTGCATACAAACTCCTGATAGTATATATGGCATAATATTAGTATTATCTGAAGTTATGCATAATTTAAAGGTTTTTTTTAATGTGAAAAGGTTAACACACCAAGAGAGAGATTGAGAGAGTAGTTGATTACAACAATGACAGACAAATAACTTCTCTCATTCATTCTCTAGAGAATTTTTTGTACAAAAATTTTTCTCATGAAGAGAACTTAAAGAGCGCGCGCACACAATGTGGAAGTGGAACACAAAAAAGATGCAAGAGAGAATTTGTCAAAATCTTTTCTTCTCTATGATTGAAATATGCACGCACACACACGCACAATGACAAAGAAGGGAAACCGTCAGTTCTAAGTTAAAAATATCTACTACCGTTAAGCCATATTATTTACTCAGGGACTATGGTATGCGCAGGCACACTCCAGTAATTGATTAAAAAATAGATTTTACAACTTGTTCAGTGATTATGCGAATCAATCACACTACTACACTGTCTGCGGATTGATTGACTGATAGTAATTAACAATCACCTATAGTTTAAATGGACTGCTCTGGAATCCGCAAAAGATCCATCGTTGTATAATGGATAAACCACCTCTGTTTTGGTCACTGTGCCACCAACGCACAGCGGTAGAATGCTCGCCATGTGGTTCAGGGTCCGACCACCCACCCCTCACCAAAGCACTCCTTTACCTCAATAAACCGGTGATAAGACCGGTAGAGAGGGAAGGTCAGGCATAAGGTTAGCAAACACCCATCTCGTGAAAATAAACACCACTGATACCGAAAATTCAAGTCTCCAGCTTCAAGCTGCCCTATGTTCCACAAGGAACGTAAAGGATCCAAAATAATAAATAGATGAGTCAAGAGAGAATAAACAAAAAGGAACTGTAGCACAACCAGCCAACCAACCAACCGATAACCTATCACAAAAAGAAATATGCAGAAGAAAATGAAGACAGACTGGATACATACACCCACTGAGGAGGGCGGCCACTGAGTGACACCACACACACACAACAGGTACACACCATCGAGTGGGCTTCGAATGAGAAGTGAGTGACAAATCGGGCGTGGCTATGAGGATGATATGCCGAAGATCGTGTAAAGAGGGAAATGGAAGTTTACAGGGCGATTGTGAAGCCAGCTAAAAGAAAGACAAATAAAGGACTGTGAGGAAGCCAGTGACATGGAGATGCGATGCCGAAATCCGCGGGAATACTAATAATAATAATAATAATAATAATAATAATAATAATAATGTCTGACCAACTGACAGAATGGCTTCAACATAGAATTAAGTTTGCACAGATGTACACCACTTCCAGTCGCCAGTCTCCCTCCATGTACCATACAAAGCAACAGAAGACAGTAATAAGAGACGTTCAAAAGATACATAATAAACACAAGTGTCAGCGAAGGGAAAATCAACAGTAGAATATGGAACAACAACAATAGAGTTTGATTGGATACGACTGGCAAATCACAAAGAGTGAGTGAATGCATCTGCTCCAGGCCAGCCATTGACAACGATCACTTTGAGCCATATCACCACCCATTGTCTTTAGCCTTCATTGGTTCTTACCCTCCCGATGACACCAACTAGCCAGACAGCCAGCCAGTCTACACCTCCCTACGTAACTGGCTGGTTGGCTGGCTTAAACAAACTGTTGTGGATTTCATCGACTGATGAAGCCATGTCTTGTTTTGATTGTCACCAGCACCACTACCTCTTCTCCAACCTGATCCATCCTGCGTCAGTCAGCTAAAATTGACCGTCGACGAAGGCGATGCCTACGCATACACACCAAAACATGTCCTAGTTATCTCAATCCATGTAACCTGACAACCTAATAGCTTGGCTTTCTCTTCTTACCTAACACTCTGGATAATTGCAGTATTACTCACTCAACTGTACCACCTAACACACACTTAAGATAAAACGCATACACTCATGGTCAAAGATAGCTAGCTAAACAGCCTTTCAATGTTCGTATCTCATAGCTAGCCATAAATGAAGATGGAACGAACTGCGAAGCAGTACACACCACACGTCTTTTGTTCAATTAGCCAGCCAACCGGATATCACGTCTACTAAGCCACAGATGGCATCGGTGGAACAGTGGTAGAATGCTAGCCAATCACGCCCCTCATGTTGTTCGAGGTTCGATCTCACCTCTCCCGCACCGACCGGTAAAGAGGGAAGGTTGGGCATGCATGAGGTTAGCAACCCCTCTCTCCGTAAAAATAAACACCACCGCTACCGAAACTTCAAGCCTCCAGCTTGAAGCTGCCCTATGTTCCACTGGGACAGTAAAGGAATAAAGAAAAAAGCCACAGATGGCGTAAGTTGGCATAAGTGACCTACTTGAATCGACGGAGGCTGTTGATGTTGTTGAGGTGGCGGTGGTGGTGGTTGTGGTTGTGGCACTGGCATATTCGGGACTGGTGATGGAAGAGAAGAACCAGTTAGCGCTTGTTGGTGTTGCTGGTGTTGTAATGTTGGCTGAAGTTGTGGATGATTCATATGCGGAGGATAACCTTGACCATTGAATTTTGAATGAACTGGAAGTGTTTGATTCGATAACGAGTGGGGTAAATTAAAGTTATTCATAGCCATACTATTATTATTGTTAGAGGGTAATGATGGCTGATTTGGATTGCATAAATGCGATTTTGATACACCACAATGTCCAGGACTTGTAAGTGAATTATGCTGACGTGTATTCTGTGGCATAACATGATGAGGATGATGTGGTGTTGTTCCTCCTTGCGGCGGTAGGCCAACAGGATTTCCATCTGTATTATTATTGTGAAACGATCCAGAACGATTTAAATGCGTATTATTATGACCAGATATCGATTGGGGACCACCACTACCAACACCACTTCCAATAGTTGAAGTATACAACGAGGATGTAGACGACGGGATATACGGACCTTCAGGACCAGACATTTGAGATAATCGTGCTAGACTAGCTAGACTAGCAGAAGTCAAATGTTGAGTACATGGAGTGTTTGGTCCTGCTGACGCTGATGCTGCTGCTGCCGCCTGTGATCTCATCCCCATAGAATCAGAATTCGGTCCCATCATCATCATCATTGTATCAGGGGAGCTAAAATATGCATGATTCGTAGGTTTATTACTCATATTCCCACTGATCCCATAATTACCGCCACCGCCAGCACCACCTGGACCATAGTTATTTCCGCTACAATTTGATGCGACTGTACGACTTCCGAGAGGAGCTCCACTGGTAGGACTAATAGGACCACCACCACCACCACCAACACCAGGAAAAGATTCACCACTTTTTGGTGTTCCAGAATGACGAGAATTGACCATTGTCATCATATCCATATTGTTGTTGGATTGTTCAATTGGGATGGATCCTGTATTCTGTCCACACATCATATCCTATAGAAAGAGAAGAGAAGAAAAGAGAAGGTACACCATCAATACAATTAAAATATATACTCAAAACTAATGCGTGAAATATGAATACAACCCCAAATAAGAGCAACCACACCCACATGGTTCAGGTTCGATTGCTACTGGTCGACAAACCCTTAAACCTCACGAACATAGAGAAGACGGAGACGATGAAGACAACCAATCAGCACCAATTACCATCAACGGGAGACATTTGGCTGAGGTTATTTTCTTCACTTTGAACCACAGGCAGATGGCATGGATGAAGATGTCAAAACCAGTCAGTCAGAAGGGATCGGAAAGGCAAGATACACCTTCATCAATCAACCTGAAACCAGTTTGGAAATCTTCTGCACTCCTCCTCAGCATAAGCAACAACAAGATTCGTTCGGATTCTGTTCAACACAAATGTTAAGCCAGTCAGTCCTTCTATACGGGTCAGGAAAAGATTCCCGATGTGTCACAGACTTTTATCAACAGCTTGCCACTTCGTTGGCTGGCTGGCTACATAATGAAGATCAAATGGTCGGTCGGTCGGCCGGCCGGCCGGCCGGCTGGCCAGACAGACAGACAGAAAGAGTTCGCAACAAACCCACTGATAGCCTATTCCTCAACAAATATGCAGGAGAAAATGGACATGGATCAGGCATACATGGAAGAGGAGACTGTCGAATGACATCGCGTGCAATGCATGCCGTAGCTCGAATGGAATCTAAATCGGAAGGCGACGAGTGGGTTTCGTTGGTGCAAGGGTGACATGGAGGAGATCGTGTGGAGACGGGGAGAAGGAGATGAGAGATTATGCGCAGTCGTGTGGCTGGCCACCTGAAGAGGACTGCACCAAAAAAGAACAGAGTAGAGATGTGTTGTTGAAGCCGTGTATGTTCCACTCGGAACGCAGAAGAATAAAATAAAATAATAAAGATAATCAACAGTTTACCATGGTTCTACAATTTCTTGACTCATTGACTGACTGACTGACTACTGAGTTTCAACGGAAAACCTTTTCATACAAATGCACCAGTTCAAGTTGTCACACACACACACCATGTAGAACACAAATGTAGAAAAAAAGGGGCTTCAAAAGAACTATAACGGGCAGACGTGTACACAAGAGAAAGAACGGTATCATGGGAAAAAACATCAAGATTTAATAGATCTGAGAGAGCGCGTCTTGTAACCAGAAGGTCCTGGGTTCGAACCATGGTGGCGGGTGCGTACTACTGTAAACCTTTAAGCCACCGCGACCCGATCCGATGGCCCATGAATTCTAATTTCTGCCAAACTAGAAAGAGGTAGTTGTCCAGTACTCCCTTCCAGATTTTCCAATGGTTCTCTAACCGATATCAGTTCATGATGAAATCCTCTAGCCAATGGAATAAAATCCCTACAAACCAATACTTGAATGTTGATGAGTATTAAAATAGGACGAAATTCGCATCCTGTATTCCACTACCAGTCCACCCCACCATCCACCAAATTGATTATGCCTTGTGATTTACAAAAAGAATAAGGATATATACTGATTCATTTTGGGGAAAACAACCGATCATTTAGAGAACGACAGTAGCTTATCCCCCCCCCAAACAGAAGAATAACAACAAGATTGTTTACCATAGATCCAATAACACAACACACACTAATTTATTTATCCATTAAAAGTAGTCAGTATAATAAACAGAAGATAAAATTTGTTAATTAAGGAAAGAGAGAAAGACAGGGAAACAGCACTCCCTAATATTTTCCACGATAAATCAATTTTCAGTGTGACAAAGGAAAACAAGACAGTGAATCAGGGAATTCTACGAAAAAGGCAAAAACAGACTTAGTGGCCAAACAAGTACGTGAATCACCTAGAATAAATAAATATTATTATATAGATTATTTTTTTTCCCCTTGGATTCCGAGTGGAACATAGGGGGCTTCAACAACACATCTCCACTTCTTCTATTTTCTGCCATCCTCTTCAGCTGGGTCAACGATTGTCCATAAACTCTCATCTTCTCCTTCTGGACATACGATCTCCTCCATGTCACTCTCGCACCGACAACCCACTCGTTGCTTCCCGTTTGGATTCCACTCAAGGTTTGACCTGCATTGCGCGTGATGTCGTTCGACAGTCTCCTCAGCGTATGCCCAATCAATCCATCTCCATTTCCTATTACATATTTGTTGAGTGATCGACTCTTGCTCGGTTGGTTTGTTCCCAGTTACTAATTCTTTCTGGCCATTTGATCTTCAGTATGGAACCAGTGAAGGCAACTGTTGATGAAAGTTTGCTACGGGGCCTGTTGGAAATCCTTTACGTGACACACGCGCAGTGCAAGTTTCTGACCTGTATAGAAGAACCGCCTTGACATTGGCGTGTAGAAGCTTTCCAAACTGCATTCAGGTTGATGAAGGCGTATCTTCCAATTCTGCCTGGCCGGCTTTGACATCTTCATCCGTTCCGCTGGCCTGTAATTGAAACGATGCTTCCTAGATAAGTGAAGGAGGTAACCTCCGTTAAATCTCTCCCATTGATGATGATTGTTGCTGGCTGTTGTTGTTGTTGCGATTCGTTAGAGAGAAAAAGGAGGAAATTAGATCGTCGAGAAAAGGCAGTGGGCTCGGTATGTGTAATAACATCTTAATTGATGTAACTACACAACCTCATCGATTAACTTACTCACCTTACCTCTATGCCTAATCTGAATGTTACTCACTACATATATCATGCCATTTGACACTGGAAATAGGATGCGGACAAATACAGCTAGTCTTTTCACATTATCCTGTTACTTTCAATGACTATATCTCACAGCCACAACAAAGGACAGAGTGAACTGCTGGCGCGTACTAGACACAGTTCACAGTAGACCTTCATACAACTTCTCTGCCAACCAGATGACTTATATACTATTTCAGAAATAACCATCATATAGACAGGTTAGGGGTATGATACTCGCTTAGGCGGGTGTGAGTGGTCCCGGGTTCGTATTCCGGACGAGCCCAGATTTTGTGCGTTGGTGGCATAGCGGTTAGGACGCTCGCCAACCATGCACATGGTCCGGAGTTCGATCACGGGCCACGGACGCACTCCTTTACCTCGCTAAGCTAGAAATAATGCTGGTGAAGAGGAAAGGTAGGGCATGAGGCAGGCTAGCAACCCCATCCTGTAAAAGTGAAAACACTGCTACAGAAACTTCAAGCCTCTAGTTTGAAGCCCTCTATGTTCCACTGGGGAACGTGAAGGAAAAAAATAGACAGGCTATGTCATTAATTGAAACATATTTAAAGTTTTCCACCTAAAAATCAGTTTACTGAAAAAAGACCGATTCTCTTCAACAGTTCTGACATCAAAACATTAAAACACTAGAAAATACCAATCATTTATTCAAAGGTGGTGTGACAGAAATTAATCCCATGTATGTGGACAACGCATCATATCACATACACACACATTCATACACACATACATACATACGTACATATATCTACTTCATCGTGAGATAAGCAAGATACGAACAACAAAATTGTTTACTCTTCCAGTCACTATATTATCCAAACAACATCAAGATATTTATCAGTGGAAATAATCCCAAGGCGAGGGGAAAAACAACAGGTCTCCGTAAATTTCCCAACGGCATTCAGTCACACACACACACACAAAAACATACATTTCCGATATATATATATATATATATATATATAGCCATTATTTTTCATAATTACAAACAAAAATAGTTTCCAAAAAGGTAAGCGAACTGTCTGGAATAAATAAATGAATAAATAAATACACGTATCTGATGCCTGCATCTACGTAAATGCATCCGGAGGAAATTCAAGGGAGTCTTCATCACATCGAATGCATACCTTAAACCTCTACAAACTTTAACTGTTACTCTGTGTCGTGTAGACACACTTTGTTGAAGAAGGAGAAAGAGAAGAATGAGAAACGGAAGAGATACCCTTCTCGCCCCCCATCACCACCACCACCACAATAACAAACAGACAACAGGAATACGAGGGTCGTATGTTCGTGTGTCTAACTGAATTTCAACATCCAACTTTCCATAGAAGTGTGAAGCAGCAGTTCAGGTTGTCACACTTCAAGTACCACAATACAAAGGTAGGCAAAAGACAGAAACAACCAGATTAGAAACTGTTATAATCACCAACAGTCTCCACCCACCCTTTGATTCTCAGAATTCCAAGGTCTCCCCGACCAAGCAGTCTACACACATACACACACTCTACTTGCCTGGCTCAAACCAACTGCCAAAGGTTTTATAAATTGATTGTAGGCTTTTGGTTTGACCAGATCAACTTGATATCGCTTCACCACAACCTCGATCGATTGACTTTATCCAACACCCTTTATGACTAATCTTAACATTATTCGGAATTTGTCGTGCGATCATCCGACTTCAGAGATAGAACGTAGGACAACTGTGATTCGAAACAGTTAACCTATACGTATTTTCCACAACTTTCAGTGGATATGTTATGTCATAATCAAAAAGAAGACACTAGGCACAATCTCTTTCTCTCTTTGTATCAAGCAGGCCAATACCAAACAATCTTCGATTGGGTACAGGATTTCATCATGAGCTGACATCAGTTAGAGAACCATTGGAAAACCTGGAAGGCAGTACTAGACAGCTGTTTCGTTAGCCTAGTTTGAAACTCTCCAGCAGTACGCACCCACCACCATGGTTCCAACCCAAGACCTTCTGGTTACAAGGCAAGCTAGCTCATAGACAATTAAGCCAATGGGACGCGATCCAATGGCTAGTCCATGAATTCTAACTTCTGCCAATTCACGCCATAGAGTGACCGCTAGCCAATGTCATCGCCGGCGAGTATTTGTCCTCAAGTTCGACCTACTGTTCCCTACTGGTCCCGACTTCCCATTAGAACCCCAGGTAACTACCTACCTGTCTGTCTGTCTGGATTCAACATAGAACTTGCCACCGAAGTGCAGCAGTTCGAGTTGCCACGTT